CAGGAGAGTGATGGAGGGATGTTTTCTTGGAGCCTAAAATAACAGAGAGAGAGAGAGAGAGAGAGAGAGAGAGAGAGAGAGAGATATGCCAGGGATGAACTCTTCTCTTTGTGCATGTTGTTCAGATTGTCAATATATAAGACGGGATCACCTGAAGAATAGACAACCAGGTTAATTTTTACCTGGAGATTAACCTAAATTAACACTAACCTTACCTAATCTAACACTACCTAACCTTAACCCTCCCCCCAGCTACAGTTAGGTTAGGTTAGGATAGGTTAGGTTAGGTCACACTTGGTTAGGTTAGGTTACATTTGGTTTGGTTAGATTAGGTTAGGTTACACTTGGTTAGGTTAGGTCACACTTGGTTAGGTTAGGTCACACTTGGTTAGGTTAGGTCACACTTGGTTAGGTTAGGTTACACTTGGTTAGATTAGGTTACACTTGGTTAGGTTAGGTTACACTTGGTTAGGTTAGGTTACACTTGGTTAGGTTAGGTCACACTTGGTTAGGTTAGGTTACACTTGGTTAGGTTAGGTTAATGTTCAGGTGATTCATATTCTCATCTTCATCACACAAACTCGTGTATAAATCTGTACCTGTCCTTGAGTGTGTGTTTGTATGTCTGGGCACGCATATAGCTTCTCCTGCTCTTATGTCTCCTCCCCTCTCGTAACCTCTTCAATGCTCCTCTGTTCATTCACTATTCTCCCTCTTTTATTCTTTCTCTCCTTCTCTTCCCTCCCCACCTCACCTCCCCCTCACCTCCCCAGCAGCATCTTACCGCCCCACGTTCGTCTGGTCGGGGTGAAATAGCTCCCCACCAAGAACATTTTCCTCGACCGGTTCACCCATACTCAGAAGCTCGTTGTGACCTCTCCTTCTTCCCCCACCCTCCTTTCTCCCCACCCCCTCTTTCCCCACCCCTTCCCTTCCTCCCCCACCCCCATTCTATAGTGATCATGCATGAGATCTCAAGTGTGGTTACAATTGTGGGTGGGGTTGGGTAGGGGTGGGGTTGGGGTGGGGTAGGGGTAGGGGTGAGAGTAGGGTGGGTTGGGGTGAGAGTGGTGGGGTAGGGTGGGTTGGGTACAGTGCTGGGTTAGGTTAGTTAGGTTAGGTTCTACCGAAAAATCATGTTTCAACACCAAAGACCTGTTCCACCACCCAGCACGTTCCACCATCCAGCACCTGTTCCACCATCCAGCACCTGTTCCACCATCCAGCACCTGTTCCACCATCCAGCACCTGTTCCACCATCCAGCACCTGTTCCACCACCCAGCACCTGTTCCAGCACCCAGTTACCTGTTCCACCATCCAGCACCTGTTCCACCATCCAGCACCTGTTCCACCATCCAGCACCTGTTCCACCATCCAGCATCTGTTCCACCATCCAGCACCTGTTCCACATCTGTTCCACCCAGCATCTGTTTATTAACACTAAGTAGAGTCTTCCTTGAAACACAAGTGGGAGGGTGAGCTTACGAGAGAGAGGGAGTTTCTGTACTGTATGTATGTATGTATGTATGTATGTATGTATGTATGTATGTATGTATGTATCCTGGATCCAGCCCACCAGTATATAACACTCGTGGACACAAACAGTAAAACACTACATGTAACTTGTAAGGTCTTTTGAAGTGTGTTGTAGCTAAGTAGTGTGTGTGTGTGTGTGTCTAGTCTGTGTGAGTGTCTCTGTGTGTGTGTGTGTGTGTCTGCCCGTGTATGTGTGTGTATCTGTGTGTCTGTCTACCTGTCCGACACTGTCATAAACCTGTGATATACTTTGGATGAATTACACACTATCTCTCCATTTCACACACACACACACACACACACACAGCATCACGGTCTGTTTAACCTGGCAAAAAAAAAATCACTTCCGTCACTACCGATATGAACACGACACACGCACCAGGCTCTGTGTGTGTGTGTCTGTGTATGTATGAGTGTGCATGTATGTACGCACGTGTGTATATAATCATTATATGCGTGGTATAACATCTCTACACCAACAATTACAACAAGATCACATTAGTTATCATACAAACACATTAATATTTGTTTATGAAAGATTAACGAAATATTGTAAACGAAACTGATGACTACAGCCTGGTACACTATTAACACACCCTGGTACACTCTTAACACACCCTGGTACACTATTAACACACCCTGGTACACTATTAACACACCCTGGTACACTATTAACACACCCTGGTACACTATTAACACACCCTGGTATTAACACACCCTGGTACACTATTAACACACACCCTGTACATTAACACACCCTGGTACACCACACACACCCTGGTACACTATTAACACACCCTGGTACACTATTAACACACCCTGGTACACTACAACAACTGGTACACTATTACACTCTGACACCCTGGTACACTAACACACCCTGGTACACTATTAACACACCCTGGCACACTATTAACACCCTGGTACACTCTGGTACACACACCTGGTACACCTTAACACACCCTGGTACACTATTAACACTCTGACACCCTGGTACACTATTAACACACCCTGTACACTATTAACACACCCTGGTTATTAACACACACCCTGGTACACTACACACACCCTGGTACACTATTAACACACACCCTGGTACACTATTAACACACCCTGGTACACTATTAACACACCCTGGTACACTATTAACACACCCTGGTACACTATTAACACACCCTGGTACACTATTAACACACCCTGGTACACTCTTAACACACCCTGACACACTCTCTTAACATCTCTACATGACCTTACATTTCAGTCAATCAATATTTACTAGTTGGGATGTGTGTGTGTGTGTGTGTGTGTGTGTGTGTGTGTGTTTGTGTGTGTTGACCTTTATCATCCTGTGTTTAGTGCTCTCTCTCTCTCTCTCTCTCTCTCTCTCTCTCTCTCTCTCTCAGTTGAAGATAAACAACATGCACAAACAGATCCAGTAAGCTGTGTATGACGTCACGGGAACGGCCCAATCAGAAGGTTCCTTTGAATTACGTAACGGGAACTGACCAATCAGGAGCTTCCACTGGGGAACGTCAGGAAGTTATTTACGAATCACCTGATGATTAGACACCCCAGATTATACCACCTGTTTATTCAACACTAGCCTAACACTAACACTAACCTAACCTAACCTAACCTAACCTAACCTAACCTAACCTAACCTAACCTAACCTAACCTAACCTAACCTAACCTAACCTAACCTAACCTAACCTAACACTAACACTAACCTAACCTAACCTAACCCCCCCCCACACACACACACACACAAACACACACGAGGTGCCAATACAAACTGTGTGACCTTGTGTATGAATCAACGCTGGGCCAGGTATTGCAGAATCAGGCTCTGAGGGCCATCTCTCTCTTACAGTAACACGGCCCTGCAAGGATATCTGGCCATACTACTACTGCTGCTGCTACCACTACTACACTTACTATTAATACTACAATTGTCATTATTACTACTACTACAATTATTATTTCTGCTATTCCTGTTACAAATATTACTATTACTACAATTATTATTACTACTATAACTGCTACTAATGCTACAAATTACTATTAATACTATTACATATTATTACTACTAGCACTGCTACTACGACTACTTTTAACACGATAAATGTACAGTACAGACAAACTTGTACACTGCTTCTTAACACGGACACCTACAGCTCAGACATCCCAGCTTATTTCACCTGATGATTAAGCACCCTGACGCTAACAAAACCTAACCTAACCACCAATCTAATCTAACCTGTCCTATTATAATCTAAGCTAACCTAACCTAACCCAACCTAATCTAAGTTAACCCCCAAAGATGACATTAATAATAATAATAATAATAATAATAATAATAATAATAATAATAATAATAATAATAATAATAATACAATAATAATAATAATAATAATAATAATAATAATAATAATAATAATAATAATAATAATAATAATAATAATAATAATAATAATAATAATAATAATAATAATAATACAATAATAATAATAATAATAATAATAATAATAATAATAATAATAATAATAATACAATAATAATAATAATAATAATAATAATAATAATAACAATAACAGGGAAGCCTAGTGAAAACCGAAATATTCGTACAATAAACACAATTATCGTTATAAAATATATTAAATTCGCTATACAAATTACGAAATCCAGTAAGAGAGATATATTAATTTATGAACGGCGGACAATATACTTATGTAGGCTAAAAGTATTAGTTAATATGAGTGTATGAGTAAATTTTGCAGTCAAGTGTGTGTGTCAAGTGTTTGGACCCAATCAGAGTACGTGTTTAAAGACCTTAGTTTGTGTTGAAGTAAAGAAATACATAAAATAATACATGTAACTCATTTTTGTAACACTACATAATATTTTGTAACGCGAGAAATAGAATTATGTGTTGTTTGAGCTAAATTAATGTAATTGTATTGAAAAAAGTAGGGGTCATCTGTAACGCTGACCTAACCGAACTAGATCTAACGTAACGTAACGTAACCCAACCTAACCTAACCCAACCTCACCCTCCAAATAGCATTAGGGTGGTTAATCTTCAGGTGATCCAAATAAAAATGTTTAAAATATTTCTACTGGACAATTTATCGTCACCATTGGTAAGGAGTGGGAGGAGCAGTGATGAAATGCTTAAAATAGCATTCGATTTTACAGCGTGTTGTTATATTAAATGTCAATTCTTCACATCCTTTATAATCTGTTATCAAAACTCCAAGTGTAGTTGTCATGTTGTCATAAAAAAAAAACAGTTTTAATACCAAGCAACAGGACGGAACAAACCGGTCCTGGAAAACTGTGTAAAATGGTCACTGACATTTATCCTCAGGCTGTATATAAAAAAAAAACACTCGTTCTATATTTACCGGAAATGCACCAAATACTTGTTAATATTGTATTTTTAAAAGGACAATGTAATCTTACCTTTTATCTACGATTGATGAATAAAAGGTAAATCCCATTCTTCGAGGGACTTGGCTAGGCTGTCATGCGTGTTCTAGGGGAGAGATCTTGTTTCCTCCTCCAGGCACTGCTCGTCACCTCACCACGCTATCCCTCACGAAATGTTCACTAGATTTAACCTCCGGACGTATATACCCGGCGTTATCCTTTGTCATGTCTGGTGTAAATGCATTATCCATAATATTCCCCGCTGCTCGACACCATTTTTACACCACCACTGAGATGAAATTATATTGTGGTAATTTATCACAAGACACAAATTCGACTTTTGATGGCGTAGTCTACATCACAGTATACATAGTACCATAGTGTTAAAATGAGGATGATTATACAACAGTGTGGTGTAAGGATTGAGGTGGTGGAGGGGGGGTGGTGGAATGGTGTATCGAGCGGGACTATTGTTCTGGCACGTCCACCCAGTACCACTGCCGAGCTCACACTGCCTGTGGGGGCTTGGCCTGGGCTGACTGGTATAGTGGTAATGGTGTTGCTGCGTCCTTCGGCCTCCTCCTCCACCACCTCCTCTTCCTCACTGCCCACCACCACTACCACCATCACTACCACCATCACATATACAGTTTGTTTATAAATAATAGTGAATGATTTACGTGTTGAAGAAGCCATAAATGACTTAATATTTATCCTGTAATTTTGTCGAGGTTTCCTGTGACGATGGTTTTGGTGAGATAGAGCCCCTGTGTAAGTTTATTAAGGAAGAGAAGAGGTAAGCCAGGCAGACATACAGACATACAGGCAGACAGCTACCTTAACTCCGGTGTGATGGCGACGGGAGTGAGTGAATGTAGGGGATCAATACACACCACACGTTCAGGGGAAGACTCACCTAGCGAGGCCACACCAACTCACCTACTGCAAGTTCAACACGCCCGCCCTCCCTCCCTCCCTCCCTATAACCGTCTCTCTCCTGGGTTATAATTACGGTTGTTATTATTTGTGAATATTTCTTTGACAATAGATTATAGTTTTAAATATTTATAATGCCAAAAACTTGATCTTAAGTATGCAATGTTGACGATGCTCCCACTGTTACGTGTTCCAGAACTAACATTATCCTTCACCGTAAACAATGATCGATTTCTTCAGGTAACATTATCACGGTGTTTTCTAAAGGTGGCGGCCATAATATGTAACGAAATTAAATATTTTTTCATTGTTTACCTGAAGATTTGCCCCACTAAGCTTATGTGTATCCTCTAGGGTTCACACACACACACACACACACACACACACACACACACACACACACACATCTGTACGTGTAGTGACGATAGGGGACGCACACAGACAGATTTAGAGACCCAACACACCCATCGGGGCGCGGGGGGAGGGGGGGGGATTTGATAGGGTGAAGAGTTTGGGGTGTGGGTGGGGGTGGGGAGGCTAGAGGGGGAGATTATGTAAAGTACAGAGACAAGAGATACGAATGAGAGAGAGAGAGAGAGAGAGAGAGAGAGAGAGAGAGAGAGAGAGAGAGAGAGAGAGAGAGAGAGAGAGAGAGAGAGAGAGAGAGAGAGAGAGCGAGAGAGAGAGAGAGAGAGAAACGTTTTTCACAACACAACAATAACAAACGTTGTCTTGTGTTATAGACAAACGACAATGAGAAAACGTTTACATAACCAACATCTTTTATCTGTAATGACCTGAAGCAACGGTACAAACACAGGTACAGTACAGGTTACAGACACAGGTACACGTTACAGAGATACAGAATAGACAGGTACAAGTTACAGGCAGATACATACACTGATACAAGTTACAGACAGGCTACAGATATATTACAGAGGCACAGGTACAGGTTATAGACAAGAGATAAAGGTTACAGTTACAGGCTGATACAGGTACAGGCAGTCACAGGATACAGGTGACAGAGTATACAGGAGAGATAAGACAAGCAGGTTACGTCACCCGTCAGAGGTAACCCACAGGTGTTAATTGAAGTCATCTCGATACGGCACACCTCTAAGCTCGTTGTGAGGCGTTAATTGTACACCTATATTGTTACTACAGTCAGTTGTCCTTTTTGCCTCATCAGTCAGTCACCTCTTCCCTCCATCACTCTCCCTCCCCCCTCACGGCATCTCTCCCTCCCTCCCTCACTCACTACCCCTCCTCTCCCTCACTACCCCCTCTCCCTCCCTCCCTCACTACCCCCTCTCCACCCCTCCCTCACTATCTCCCTCACCCTTCGGCTTTGTAATTCTTGTTCTCATGCCGTCTCTAGTGTTTACAAAAGATATAGTTGCCAGTCTGAACAAAGGTTGTGTATACTTACGTGTGTGTGTGTGTGTGTGTTAAGGTTGGGTATTTTTTTAATAATTAAGATCTTTTCACCTGTCGACGTTCTCAAGTGTGTGTGTTACCTGCCTAGATTATTACCATAGTTTCTCTCTCTCTCTCTCTCAGTTGGTCTCATACATACACACACACACACACTCCTGCGCTCTCTCTCTCTCTCTCTCTCTCTCTCTCTCTCTCTCTCTCTCTCAGTTGGTCTCACAAATGGGCACTGTAAACGCTTCTACGCTTCACCTTGCACAGGATGTAAGGGGATGCCCAATAAACTAGCCCCTCCGGGGCAATATAATCTGACTCTGACCTATATGTACTGCCAATGAATATGATGCCCTCTGTGTACAAACCTCTGTCCTGCGTGGCAGTGAACAGTGACATTACCCACATGAATCTGATCTATGTATATATATTTAGGTATGTGTGTGTGTATGTGTATGCATATGTATGCACATACGTATATATGTATGTATATGTATGTTGTCAATGAATACGATGTATTTCTTTGTGTATGAACCTAAGTCCTGCGTGGCAGAGAAGTGTCAGGACCTCCTGACTGAATTACTCTGAATAGGCAAACTGTACTTCAGGATTTGTCAATAAATTTGCTAAACTAAAACACACACACACACACACACACACACACACACTCTCTCTCTCTCTCTCTCTCTCTACACAGGCGTCACTGTTATGGTCGACTCTTTCAACAGTCTTTGTTTTCCTCTTGTGACAATTAACTTTAAACCACGAGAACTTTAACCTGACTAAAATACCTGATCTAACCTAACCACACCTTAACCTAACCTAAATGTAGAAGAGGTTCAGTTACTGCCCAGATATGGTGGCCCGGTTCACCTATGGCCCTAGAGATGATGGCCCGGTTCACCTATGGCCCGGTTCACCTATGGCCCTAGAGATGATGGCCCGGTTCACCTATGGCCCGGTTCACCTATGGCCCTAGAGATGATGGCCCGGTTCACCTATGGCCCTAGAGATGATGGCCCGGTTCACCTATGGCCCTAGAGATGATGGCCCGGTTCACCTATGGCCCTAGAGATGATGGCCTGGTTCACCTATGGCCCTAGAGATGATGGCCCGGTTCACCTATGGGTGGCCCTAGATCACCGGTTCAATTATGGCCCCAAATGGACCCATCGAGGACTATAATATAACGTTAGCTAGCGTGGTGTAGGCCAGAGCGGGAGTCCCCACCAGTGTTACCAAGTCCCCCACACACCCCCATGTCAAGGCGTGGTCACTATACACAACAGGAAATTCACGTATAATGCTCATTGTCGTCAAAATACATTATATTCATATGATTTTTTTTATTATGTATACTAATAGTGATTAACAATGTATAATAAATTAATACATCCCACTGTAATAATTTTCCTTGTTAACTCATAAAAAAGGAGCATAACAGCTAAATTTTTCCTTATTTTCATTTTTAATAATTTTTTGTATTAGTTATGTATTATAAATGCTATATTTTATGGGGATTTATATCAACAAAAAATTTATGTTAGTTATGTTTAAAGATGAAAAAGATAAGAATTTATAATACCAAAAGTAACTTGGCAGCGGTGTGTGGGAGGCAGCGAGTTGCCACGTTACAATAATTTTTAATATTTAATGCTATTTTAACGCTATTTATATAACTATTATAACTGGATTTTGTTAATATTAATAAAAAATAAGTAAAATATAGTGTATGATAATGTATATGTAGAGGGAATGTATATAGAGAAATGTCAAGAAAAAGGTATGTAGGTCGGTGAAGGGAGTCGAGTACGAGCCAGTCAGTGTACAATATTTGCTTCATCTCTCACTTCACTTGGCCTTGAGACTAGCCTGTAGGAGTGCAGGATACTTACTTTATTATCTGGGGAGTGAGGATAGGGGTGGTGAGGATAGTAGTGGTGGTGAGGATAGTAGTGGTGGTGGTAGGGGATAGTGGTAGGTGAGAAGTGAGGATAGTGGTGGAGGAGAGAGGTGAGGATAGTGGTGGAGGGGAGAGGTGAGGATAGCAGGGAGGGAGATGAGGATAACGGGAGTTTGGGTACATATTTAACAACCCTTTGTGTCTCTGTTATCTTATCGTCTGGTTATCATTATTTATTCAGTTCCTAATAACGCACGCACACACAGGGGGGGTGGGGAGGGTCATTTTTGTGTGAGGGATTAGTTAGGACATAGCAAGGTTCAATGACTCAGGTGAGAGACAACAAGTGAGAGACAAATTCTTCTGACAGAGATTTCCTTCCTGTCTAGCCCCCCCCGCCCTCCTTTGGCCACACCAACCAAGATAGAACCAGTTTCTTGTGCATCAGCTCAGACCACACCTGTACACACTTACCTCCCATCACACACCTGTACACACTTACCTCCCATCACACACCTGTACACACTTACCTCCCATCACACACCTGTACACACTTACCTCCCATCACACACCTGTACACACTTCCCTCCCATCACACACCTGTACACACTTCCCTCCCATCACACACCTGTACACACTTACCTCCCATCACACACCTGTACACACACTTTACCTCCCATCACACCTGTACACACTTCCCTCCCATCACACACCTGTACACACTTCCCTCCCATCACACACCTGCACATACTTACTCCCCATCACACACCTGTACACACTTACCTCCCATAGCACCTCTTCTCCAAACTTGTCCTCCCCCACACACACATGTCCTCCTCCCCACACACCTGTCCCTCCCCACACATGCCCTCCCCCACACACCTGCCCTCCCCACACCCAAGGTCATCCGACACATGCCCCTCCCCCCCACACCTGTCCGGCCCACACACACCTGTCCTCCCCCACACACCTGTCCCTCCCCCACACACCTATCCTCCCACACACCTGTCCTCCCCACACCTGTCGTCCCCCACACCTGTCCCTCTCATACACCTGTCCTCCCACACACCTGTCCTCCCCACACATGCCCTCCCCCACACCTGTCCCTCCCACACACCTGACCTCCCCACACACCTGCCCTCCCACACACCTGTCCCACACACCTGTCCTCCCACACCCGTCCCACACCTGTCCTCCTCCCCACACCCGTCCCTCCCCACACATGCCCTCCCCCCCCACACCCGTCCTCCCACACACCCG